ATGTATCGTGTAGATATATATATATATATTTAAAGGGTGTGTGGAGATTTAATAAACGCTGGGAAAGAGGAGCGGTGAACAGAACCAGCACGAGCAGTGAGCTACAGAGACAAACAGGAAGTAGTACGTCACCTGATGCGAAGGATGCAAACTCCACGCAGTGGTGATAAATCCACTGCAAAAAAAAAAAACAGAACAGAAACACCTCAAGCAGATTTTAACCCAGCAGCACATGTCAAATGTTCACATTTTCTACTTTCTCTCACACTGATTTAGCAGTAAAGATGTATATATATATATATATATGTTAACAAAACAGGCAGCAAGACTGACAGAATGACACAGCGGTTTGTCACAGTCCTGAAAAGAAGAACCTTCATTTTACACTTTCAGCTGAATACTGAACACATACTGAAGCCTTCACTCAGCTTGTTTAACCTTTATCTCCACATCTGCACCATCCGTTGGTCAGACCTGTGTGAGGTGAAGCACACGTCTCCCTCTGCCATCATAATCACATTTCTACGGGTTTTCCTGAAGTCACACAAACACAGGAGCCAAACGAGACGATTAGCAAACGAGCACCTGTGAACAAAAAGGAACATTTAAAGGATTTGCTGAATAAGAAGCGCTTCTCCGTTCATGCTCTCAAGTTTTTACATTGAAGTCTACATCTCAGTTATGTGGAGAAGTTCTGGCCGATTGCAGCTGTGAAGCGTCAGTACAGATAGAAGACAGCGACGTCACAGGAAAGGCAGCAGCTTCAGGGGACTGCACATCTGTCCAACCTCAGATCATCGACTTTTTTAATGTCAGAACTTCTTAAACTGTGTCTCGTGCAGTATTTTCACATGGTCTCTACAGCAGAGCGACACGTTGCACCAGAACATCAGAGGAACACGTAGCTATGAAGCTGATCTGTGATCTGACAAATCAGTGGTTCTGTCTGCTGAACCATGAAGATCAGACACTCGTCCCCTGTGAGACTCTTCTGGTCTGTTTCAGTTGACACAGCTCAGCAGTGTGTCCAGACATCCAGACCCAGAGTTCAGCATGCAGGAGGTCTGGACTCTGGAGGAGAGTCATGGTTCCAGAGACACTGGAGAAGGACAGAACAGCTGATCATCCCCTGCTCTGCTGATGTTCTTGTATGAGAATACTAGAACAACTCCTCCTCCTCTCCACTCCACTTCCCAGGGACAACGTCCAGTCAGACTCTCTCTGCTCAGAACCTGGACCCAGTAAATGAATCTGTCTGGATGATCAGGATCAGACTGATGCCAGGTTTCTGTCTCCATCAGATAATAACAGCTCTCTGTGGGCTGCGTTTGGATCCAGACTGATTTCTCGTGAATATCTTAAGAATCCATCTCTGGTCGTTGGTTCTGGTTCTGGTTCTGACAGTAGAACATCCACGTGAGTGATGGCCAGTGAGATGTTTGTCCATGCGTCCCTCAGAACGTCCTGGAGTCCATCTCTGAGCTCTTCCACAGCTGCTGTCACATCCTCAAAGTGTCTCCGAGGACGGATGCTGATGCTGGATGAGTGTGTGGACTCACTGAG